TAATTATATTAAAGGAAGTGTTAAACTGATATGTACATGGTAAAAATAAAATATAAGATATTATACCAGCTTTGCGTTCAGTTATTAAAACGTTACAACGCGTTTTTAGTGTTTTTCTATTGAACAAGCCGGTTTTGTGGAATCTTAGCGTAGAATAATAATAGGTTACTTGCGAGTCAAACCTTTTCGGAAGGAAAATGAAAGAAAATAAATAAATATATAATAATATTATCGGGTATTCGTGTATGTTTTGATGTAAGGAATGCTTAGTATTAGAATTAACTTCAAATTATTAATGAACAGAATTTCTCAAATGTCTCATTTCAATTTTATCATCATTGACTCCATCATTAGTCTCATTGGAGTTTTCATCGTTGTTATCGTCGACTTCCTCCACAACTCGGATCTTCAATTTGTGGGCTTGGTACTTATCGTCATCATAGTCAGACGCCAAAAAACAGGCGCGAGTTTTAGCCCACGATGAGTTGGCAGCAAACATATTTTCGTACAGCAGACCAGCTACGATTCCACCTAGTAACGGTCCGATCCAATATACCTGAAATAAAGTGGAGATTAATTCATATAAATTCACATACATGCTAGTTAGGCTTAGTTATACTTACTTTAGTACAGGATTGCGGGTTGAAAATAGGTCGGTTGTCTATACTCCGCATAGTGTGAAACTCTAAGTAACAACATGATTCAGATTGGTTTTTTAACTAAAATTTCCATTCATATATTCTTGTACAAAAACAAAATATTTTTACTCAACATGTTTCAGGTTCTGGTTAAATATCCATTTCTATTCTGATGTGTCCACTATGTTTTTCATATTACCCACGAAATCAGGCGTTACTGTTTCATATTCTCGATTCTGTACACAGCTTTCTACTAACGTCGAAGATCTTGAGGGACTAACCAGCACTTGTTTTGAAGTAAATACATATCGAGAGCACGTTACCATACTTTCACATGTCGATCGAGATTAGAACCCGCCATTAGTTCGGCTTAACTAAGCAAATGACTCAAAATTCTAATGCTGGGATATTTGGATCCTTCAGAAAAGTAACGGGTTAAATAATTATCTTACTTACATAATGTTTATCCCAATGACCGTTAACTAGAGTTGGTCCCAGACTTCTAGCTGTGTTCATACTGGCTCCCGTATATTGGATCTGTAACGATTAAACAAAACATTATAAATTATTATTATAAATCGTAATAATTTGTTTAATTTAAATGTGCTATTTTTAGAAATACTAGAAATTTAGTGGTTTACTTTCAGTGACCAGCTCAGGATGCCCATTGTCATATGGGCATATTGAATTTATGTCCGGAAACTAAGTATTGGCTATATTGGAAAGATTTCTGGAAAAAAGGTTAATTTTGTGCTATAACATTGAAACAGATGACAAATGATTTACTGGTCTGAATCCAACAACACAGTTAGTGAAGAGCAGATCAAGGGACGTAACTCAGCAACTTTTACTAGCATGACGAAACGATACAAAAAACTATTTTCTAAAAAGAGTCAACTGAACGCAGGGCTGGTTACCTTTAGGAGGTTTATAATTGATTTATTTATATATATATATATATTTGTCAGTATTTATTCTCAAGTTCCTCCATTTAAACTATAAAGATAAATGTGTTTGGAGTTTTTAGACTAGCACAATGTACATAAATTACATTATATATTCCAATTAAATGGAATTAACTCTATTTATATTTGTAATAAATCGGTCTATCGGGGGGTATATCTATGGTCTATAAGCTGTTACCTTGCTACATACGACAAAAAAATATATTTGCTTTGCTTCGGATTATAGATGTAAGATTGTTAAAAGACATTCGTACTTGTTTAAAATAAGATGACCTAACTCTTACAATAATAAAATATTCTCACTGTAAAAATAGTGCTCAATACATCAATTGTAGAGAGATATAGAAATACCACTGTTAAAATAGTGCTAAATACATCAATTGTAGAGTGATATAGAAATACCACTGTTAAAATAGTGTTCAATACATTAATTGTAGAGTGATATAGAAATACCACTGTTAAAATAGTGCTCAATACAATTGTAGAGTGATATAAAAATACCACTGTTAAAATAGTGTTAAATACAATTGTAGAGTGATATAAAAATACCACTGTTAAAATAGTGTTCAATACATCAATTGTAGAGCGATATAAAACTACCACTGTTAAAATAGTGCTAAATACAATTGTAGAGTGATATAAAAATACCACTGTTAAAATAGTGCTCAATACATCAATTGTAGAGCGATATAGAAATACCACTGTTAAAATAGTGCTCAATACATCAATTATAGAGTGATATAGAAATACCACTGTTAAGATAGTGCTCAATACATCAATTGTAGAGAGATATAGAAATACCACTGTTAAAATAGTTTTCAATACATCAATTGTAGAGTGATATAGAAATACCACTGTTAAAATAGTACATACATCAATTGTAGGGCGATATAGAAATACCACTATTAAAATAGTGTTAAATACAATTGTAGAGTGATATAGAAATACCACTGTTAAAATAGTACTCAATACATCAATTGTAGGGCGATATAGAAATACCATTGTTAAAATAGTTTTAAATACATCAATTATAGAGTGATATAGAAATACCACTGTTAAAATAGTACTCAATACATCAATTATAGTTTGATATAGAAATACCACTGTTAAAATAGTGCTCAGTACATCAATTGTAGAGCGATATAGAAATACCACTGTTAAAATAGTGCTCAGTACATCAATTGTAGAGTGATATAGAAATACCACTGTTAAAATAGTGCTTAATACAATCATGTCATTATATATTCATACTGTGAAACTTGTTTTAGTTTTGTATAAATCGCATAAATGAAACAAAATGAAACGTTTTTTAATTTATTGCAAAGTAATGTGATTACAAAAAGTGATAAAAAAATATGGACAATGGCATATGTCTAGATGAGATTCTATTAAATATTAATCAAACATGTGACTAGCTGAATGAGTACTGGTGACTTTTTAACAAAATGAGATAAACGGTAGTTTTCTCGTGTTCAGCTTACTTTGTACTATAATTCATAATGCTCCTCACATCAAGAAAAAGGTAAAATATAAAGATTAATTTGATAATGTCAGAAACAATGTGACCTAAGGAATAGATTGATATATTTTTGTCTTTGATACAATCAGTGATGCTCCTGATATATCTGCTTCAAATTTAAGTAGAATCTCAGCTAAGTATTTAATTGGACTAATGCAATGACATGGAGTTTTATATCCTACTGTTCTGTACATGATTGAGCTACTGAAATGAATTGTAGCTTTATATACTACTGTTCTGTGCATTGTTGGACTAATGAATTAAAATGGTGTCCTACTGTTCTGTATGTTATTGAACTAATGAAATAAAATGAACGACTACTGTTCTAGAGAAATGAAATGTTGTTTTTTAGTTCTACTGTTCTGTGCATTGTTGGACTAACGAAATAAAATGTTGTCCAACTGTTCTGTATCTTATTGGGATAATGAAATGAAATGTTGTTTTTAATCCTACTGTTCTATACCTAATAATACGATAAAATGCTACCAGATAAAGTTTTACATCTAGTTTACAATACAGGGTATTCAGAAGGATTTGCTCTGTTATAACTGGTTCTAAAATAGCATGAATGAAATAAAATATTGTCTCAAATTCTCGCATCATCTTTAGAATTCTCATTGTTCAAAAAATCCAACTCTTCTTTCTGGCCTTCTTCTTCTTCTATGATACGAATCTTCATTTTGTGTGCTTGGTATTTATCGTCGTCATAAGCACTGGTCAGCAGACAGGCCTTGACTTTCTGTAGAGAGGAATTGGATGCGAACACATGGTCATAAAGAATACCTGCCACAGCACCACCCAATATTGGACCCAACCAGTACACCTGTAAATATAACCATCAGTTATTATAAAACCAGATGATGATCGTATATATTCTCCGGTAAATAAAACGCCTTTATTGGAATGGTTATAAATTCTGAATTAATAGATCCGTGGACCACAAATAGATTGATTAACCGTGTAACATTGTCATCCTTGAACCCAAAAGAATAATTATAACAATTTTAATGATGGTGAAATATAAGGAAAAAATCAAGATAAAGTTCAATTTTTCGTTTTTAGGGGACTTTTTACAGGCAAATATTTCTTAAACTTCTCTGACAAAATCTGATGCCAGTTTTCCGACTTTATATATGTGGTTCGGGGCGATGTCCGAGAATAGAACTCAGAACTTCCCTTTTCCGAGTGATACGACCAATATATTTTCTTCAAGATGTTATTGATCAGACAAGATAGATACATACCCAATGATGATCCCACACCGCCATTATAACAGCTGGACCAAACGACCTGGCTGTATTCATACTGGAGCCAGTATACTGAATCTGTAAAACATAAACAATTCACGCTAGTAATGTCGTGTCTCTATGAAATGAGTCAAACAACCATCCAGGATCATTCAAAAGACAAAAGAAATGAAGTAGACATAACATAAAAAGAAATAATAATAATAATAATAATAATAATAATAATAATAATAATAATAATAATAATGATAATAATAATAATAATAATAATAATAATGATAATAATAATAATAATAATAATAATAAATGATAGTTGTATAATGATGTTATTTGAACGTACTATGTATGATAAGCGTTAATAGAATAAGATAATAACAAGACAAAGCAAAAGTAAGCATACTATTCTATTCAAAGCTATATAATAACACGTGAGAATTTAAAAGCTGGTTCTTAGTAATTGCGATTTGTTGAAGAATAAGAAAAGGTTACATAGTTTTCAGACAAAACTGACAGTAATAACTGGTATATATAGTGGTATCGTCAAAACTATTTTTTCAATCCACTTCATAACTGAAATTTGGTTTATTAGACACTCGTTATTTTTTCAATTACATTTGCAATCTACCACCTTGTATGTCCTGCATCACATGTGAAACCTTAGAACAGTGTTTATTGTAGTGGAGCTTAAATCAGTGTTTTCTTTTGGACTTGAGTTCGCAAGTGACTGATCAAGCTCAACATGCCAGAATAGAACAGTGCTGTTTCTGATCCCCAGAGAGAAATCTAGTCGACATTGCTAGTGTTAGTAAACATGAGAAAATGAGAGTATTATGTTAGAAAGACCACGTGTTACAGTCGATGTTTAGTCAGGTATGAGTGAAAAGGTGATATAATCAATTCCAACTTACCGTCTTTATCTTTATTTTACAAGGGTTAGCATTGGGTCAAATTTAAATGGTCATGTCTAAAATTTCGTTCATGGCACAAGTTTTACAAAACTAAAGACGGGCATAACGAGTTGAAACGTTAAAAAAGAGCCAAACAAATCACTGTACATTACGTGCTGATATCTGCTTAAGATATCTTTGACACAAGTGACTGAAATTGGGTGTCTTCCACCCCCGTTCGGACGGATTAGAACCCGAACCACTGGAAGTACTAAAACACCTTTGGATTCAAGCATTACGGTGATGCATTTTGTTAGATCATTACTGATAATACCCGGACCAGCCTCGGTTATATGAATGTATCAATATCTTCCTTGATTCCCTATTGATTCATACAGATTGAATAAAGCTATCAATTAAAATGTTTATTACACACCGATGAACACCGAATGTTTAAACAAAATGTGATTTTTGATTTGTCACTGTGATCTGATTTTTAAAATTAATATTAAAAATGTAAAAAAGATTATGAAAGAAAATCAATTATCACATGAAAAAAGTTTCCCATTTATATAACTTGTACTGGTTTATCAGGTAAGGCGAACTCAACTGCATTATACCCAACACGTGATAGAGACTTAGACTTAAAATCTTATAAAATGGATTGTTCGGTTTATTGAGTATTGTGATTTGGCTTGTAAAGGACATACACATGAAATGCAATAAGTCATTTATTTTGCTTTTCATTTGAAATTGAAAGGAGTTGAAACTTTGTGATAAATTTGAATTGAATTTACGTCCTGTATTCATCATAGAGAGTATTTTAAGAACATAATTCTACGGGGTTGATAAACTTTGTTTTAAACCCGGGGACTAACAAGTTACCAAAATATTATCAATATGTATGTCAATATTATGATCAGATTTCACTCTAATTTATAATGTTATTACGACAATATTATTTCAACAGTGTAACTACCATTCCAAACTGAAATTGTTCAGTAACTACCATTCAAAACTGAAATCGTTCAGTAACTACCATTCCAAACTGAAATCGTTCAGACTCTGCCTTCAATTTGACCCTCGTAAAGCTGATGAAAAATTAATGAAAAATATATAAATATACATTTTTAATTCCCGAAGTTTTAATAGGTAATTTGTCATTCTCCATTGAAGAAGACGATAATTAACACAAGCTCAACTAGACTGGATTAGTTTATAGGCTCTAATTGACTGGTGTAAACTCATGTCATTTCTCTCCATGCAATGGAAAATTTTTCATTGGCGTGATTCCGATCTACCAAATGGTATTCAGTCGAGAGGCAATGATATTTCGCTAATATTTTTCGACTGGGTATGATAAGAAGCGATATAGTTTAAGTTGGGATTGTCAGCAGAGCAATTGCAGAAACCCAATACAGATACTGGAACAGAATTACGAACAGAAAATTTTGAAGCAAATGAAAATCAAGAGACCGTCTATACACGGCATTAATCAAAGACTGTCGCATGATGACCGCAAAAAACTGAAATAGTTCAAGGTAACGAACAACGCAATACTTAGCATTTAAGGATTGGTGATGAGAAAATTTAAGTTATCACAATACTGGTTTAAAAGTGCGCAACGATAAAATTAACATAATACATTCAAACAGAGGTTTTTCACAGTTGAACGCAAAATGAAAAAAGGATAGGTATCAGAAGGGTTTTCAGTTGAACTCATAATATCGGTATATAATGCAACGAAATCGATAAAATCAACAATACACATTAAAACCTAGTTTAAAAAATTCTCAATAAAACGCAAATTGTGAAAAGTGAAAGAAGTGACATGCATCACATGAATTAATACTCATTTTATTCATATAGAAATATCTAGATGATTTGTGTAAGGAGAGGTTTTCTAGAAACTGCGATAACAAACTGGACTCTGAAGGTCCAGGGTTCAAACCGGGCATGGGTCGAGATGATCCCTTCGGATTTTTCAACCCGGTTTCTCCCTGTCAGTGATGCAGGTCGGAGGGGACATGGGAAAAGCGTCTCGGATGAGACAATAAACCGAGGCCATGTGTGTTACAGGCTGTGCACGTTAAAGATCCCTTGACAGTTGAAAAAGAGCAGGCTAGTGCCGCTGTCCTGGCAAAATTTCCCTCATTGCACCCTGCATGGCGTTGACCGTCTTCATCAGACCAGAAGGTGCAGAAAAAAGTTTTTTTTTCTGATTTTCCGAAACATCTTGTGACCGCCAGAATCTAGAAACAACAAATTTTCACCGTTGGTACGTGAAATAATCTTTTTAAACGTAGATCCGGTTCCGGTTTTCTCTTAGATTGCAGTCACATCATTCAACTGATGGTATCTATGATATTATGACCAAAAGTTGGAATTAAACGTCCTAGCACACGACGACTGTGAAATTGTTGTGATTCATTTGTACCAGCATTAGAATCCTTAAGAATAGTTTACATGTGGGTAAAATTATACTTGAGATTTAAAATAAATCAAGTTAAAATAAAAATGACATATTTTTTTAATATCACTGTAAACTCTTAATATTTATATCAAGATGAAGGTTCACCTATCATTAGTAACTAGAAGTGTATTTGAATTCAGCAGTGTGGTGTTCGTGAGAATCTCTATCAATCTCTATATGTAGTGACCTTAAGGCTCTGACTACTGAATATTTGTAGTTACCGCGAGTTATTGATGCTGTACTATTCTATTGAAAATAAATATGACAGTCAAACTATCTTACATTAAACCAGGCCTGTTTACATTATATTTACACCTTTAACTATTATATTATTATTATTATTCAGTACAGTTTAACGTAATCAACTAATAAAAGTACAATGTATGTTTTATACTCAAGTATCAAGATACTTTATTACACTTGCAAAAAGGAATTTGTTCGTTCATTTACCTAGTGAATAAGACACGACCAGCATCTTTCAATAAATAACATTATATAAGACATAAATAACATAACATCATAAAAACACAGTGTGTCAGTTATCAACACTCAAATATCTCTTTTTATTTTTATTACACCTTTCTTCACTTACAAACTAGAAAATTCCACATTTTTTTTCTTTATTTTTCAAACAATTGTTTACATGTGAACTTGTAAGAGATTAATCTAGAAAATTCGGTGGATTCGTTTAAAAAATTTACTTTTTATTTGTATGAATCTTTAGAATATTTTCTCCATTTGTCAAAATATTCATACAAAAAAATTTGCATTTTGTAAAACTTTTTAGTCTAAATTTATTCAATTTTTTTTAATCTATAATCTGGAAACTTCGAAGGAGTCGTTAAAATTTTTCAATTTTTTTTTCAACTTTTAGAACTTTGTCTAGAAAATTAATATGCATAAAATATAAATTTTTATCTTAAATTACAATCGAGCGGCTTCGTTTGATATTTTTTCAACGTTTTGTTTATTTTTATAACTTTCTGGGTTAATGTGACTTATTTTTTCCTTCAATCAGGTTTCAAGATATATCATTGATTTTCTATTATTTCTCTTTCACTCCCGAGTTTCATTTTTGAGGAATATCTTGTATGTATTGTTTAATGTTCCTGACATAGCTTGAGTTAATTGTTCAGTCACATAATTACGTTCACTGGACAAACAAACACACAACCGATCACTTACACAACATAATCTTATATCTCTAAATATAAAGTATAGTGATATAGTGAAAGAACATGTAGGTACCCTCTAGACTTTAATCACACTGTTAAATTAGGTGTAACCTGTCACTCTCTACGGTGCAAGTTACATCTGGAGAGCTTAGCGGTAATTACACTGTAAGGGTGTTAAATGGGCGCCATTAGCAGCGTTAAGTGTACTCATATATCTCAGTGTGTTGTTTTTGACTAATAGTTTGCGGTGAAATGGTGTTCGAAATTTAAAACTCCCAGCATGCCAATCTCTTCACGTGATCGATCCAGCCGACATTTTAAACTGACAGCAACACCGAAAGCTAGACTAGAGCAGACCAAAGTCCAAGTTATTGTGATTGATGATTCTACAGACAAGACCTGTGTTTGAAATATATAACATGTATACTGCATCTAAACTTGTATTTATTTTGCGTTTGAGTATATATATATATATTTAAACTTCTAACAGTAGTGTGTGAAAAAGCAAATGTCTCTATCAATGCTATTTCTAGTGCATATCTA